CCATTACTATATTACACAGGTTAAAAGGGGAACTATACATACATACATACACCCTGATATGCAGACAAACGGACAATATACATACATATATATATATAATCAATCATTTAAATCTTACAATGTGTTATTTATTCTATTTAGCCAGTCATCTATTCATGTATTTATTGTTTTGACTTTCTATGTCTAAATTAAAGAAACTGTAGAACTAATTTCAAGTTACCCTCTAATTAAATAGTTGCATGTCCTATGCACAACTTTACCCTTTAACCCTTCGTCTGAGGAAAAATGACGGAAGATGGTCAATTGTAAATCCTTTTTTTTTTATAGCAAAAGGGTTAAATTGGACACTCTTATCTATCGGACTTGCAAATCTGTAAATGGAGAGTAACTTTGATGTTACGTCGATTAAATTTTATTATTTTTACCTTTTTGTTTAGGAGGTTCACGATTTCTACGGAATGGAAGTTGGCTCCTCGTACCCTATTAGAATCAGTTTCAGGCTAAACCCACCTCCTAGTGATGTAAGTACAATTTTAACCCTTTTTAGAAATAAAAAAAAACTGTCGATTTTTTTTAGTAAATAAAGTTCAAACGTTAAAAGAGTTTCATTTGGTGAATCAAATTTTTGTTATCGAAAAGGATCTTAAAAATGTACACTTCTGGCTCATGTAGTATACATTAAATATACAAACTAAATATAAACTCTTGATGCATTTCTTCACGAGATCCAAGCTNCCCTCCCAATCTAAGTTCCGTTATAGTACCTAGTTAGTAACTAATAATACTAAAAGGTTTCGTGATTTTTATCCTTTCCATTTACTCACAAAATATTGATTTAAACCTCCAAATATCACAGAAACAAATTTCAAGAACTAAAAAGGTTTAAGGACGACCGATATAAAGAAATTGAGTTTTTGCCACACACTCTGATTTTCTAATCTCTATATCTTTGCAACCACAATGTTGTATACATAAGATATTTTAAACTATGAATTCTGTTTTAGTTTGATATATCAAAGGTCTACACCAACATGTTGCAAAGATATAGAGATTATAAATTTCGAGTTTGTAGCAAAGACTCAATTCCTTTTCAAAGCTTTAACATTTAACATATTTTGTGGTAGGATCTTACATGAACATGAAAGAAACTGAACAGTGAACACTCACCTCAAAATTTTCAATTATATGTCTTTGGACGAACTTGGACATTTTTATTGTTTCGTATAATTTACGATTTATAGTTTACGACATCAGTATTAGAAATTTAGTGCACGAGGAGAGTAATCAATTACTTTTTTCTAAATATTGCTATTTTTGCTTCTGCTCTTTCGGATAATGGATATATTTACATCCATATAAGAGAAGTTTTTATGCTTTTTTTAAAGAGAATTCTCAGATACTTTCGATGATTTAAAACATTCCAACCATTTTTGTCTTGAAGTCCTGCTTAAATGCCATGATTTTTCTACTTAAAGCGTGCTAGGAATTTAAATACCTATTCTTTATTCTCGCTTATTTCTATGAACGCATTAAAATGGCCGAGTTTTCTTGGTTTTTTTACTGTGTGGTATATTATTATGGAGAGTCCCTTCCTTCTACCCCCCTCATTCCATCCATCTTGTACCTTCCCTCCCTCTTTTTTTTCAGACGATAATGAATATATTTACAATGAACAGCAATAAAAGTTTTAAGAACCATAAAATTTTTAGAATTAATTAGTGTACGCATTAATATATGGAGAATATATCAAAAACCATAAAGGCAGTTTAACTGAAAAAGACAAGAACCCTTGACTAAATGCATTGTATACATAATGTCCCTTTGTTTCATAATAAAGTCCCAAGAGCTATAAATACCCTTTCGTATTTCACAATATAAGTTTGGTGCTTTGGGTTAAAGAACTAAATGTATAACAACTACTGAAGTAAAGTTTGTCTATGTCATGCTTTTAATTTTGTGGGTTCGCCCCCCTCGCTCCGCACTTCTATTATCACTCCGTACCATGATTTATTTTGACAAGGTTTACAACGTCAAATTACAGGGTAAATACTCAGGGTTTGATGGGATATCTTCTCCTGGGTGATCCTTATATTGAAAACTTCTCCAGGTAGGAATTTAAACAGGAGATTTTAGACAAGAATATCATGCGTTCTCCGGATAGGACGATTAGGACAGTTCTCTAAGTTAAGCATTGCTAAACTCAATTTTTTAACGTAAAGGTTCTGTAAGTAGAATTGTTTAGCATGGTTCTCTAGGTAGAATGTTTAGCATGGTTCTTTAGGCAAAAGGTTAAACAGATTTCTCTAGGTAGGATGTGTAACATGGTTCTCAACGTAGGATGTTCAACATGGTTCTCTAGGTAGGAGGTTAAACATGGCTCTCTAGGTAACATGCTTAACTGGTTCTCTAGGTAGAATTTTTACTATGGTTCCCTAGGTAGGATGTTTAACATGGTTCTCTAGGTAGAATGTTCAACATGGTTCTCTAGGTAGAATGTTCAACATGGTTATCTAGGTAGAATGTTCAACATGGTTCTCTAGGTAGAATGTTCAACATGGTTCTCTAGGTAGAATGTTCAACATGGTTCTCTAGGTAGAATGTTTACCATGGTTCTCTAGGTAGGATGTTTAACATGGTTCTCTAGGTAAGATGTTTAACATGGTTCTCTAGGTAGGATGTTTAACATGGTTCGTTAGGTAGGATGTTTAGCAGGGTTCTCTAAGTAGGAGGTTCAACATGAATCTCTAGGTAGAATGTTTAACTGGGTTCAAAGAACGGATCCAATTTATAGGGTTTAAACCTCCTGTAAGTACCTCATCGGCAATTATCCTTATTAAGATTAGAACCAAATTGAACTTTATCTCAGAATGGACGTCACGGGGAAGATTGTTGTGGTAAATACATAAAGATGTAGGATAGGGTATAGGAGGGAGGGGGGGAGATGGGAAAGAAGGAGAAGGGGGTTGAATGGGGAGGGAAAAGAATCAAACACAAAATTAGAAGCAGTTCTGAAGAGAAATGATGGAAAGAGCGAAGAGGGGTTTGAGCTTAACAGGAAATTTTCAGGGTGGAGGAGATGGGAGGGAGGCGGGATAAAGGAAACAGAGAAACAGGGGGGGGGGGGGGGTATCAAAGAAATAATGTATTGAGGAAGGAGGGGAAAAGAAAATCTTTTTCGATTTAAACTTTGTGCTCTGCTCTAGAAAATGAAGCTAAATTGATTTAAAGGATTTAACATTTTGTAAGAATAAAAAGTTAAATATAAAATACATAGCTTAGACATAGACAGATAGAAGACAATTTAGGAAGACACAAGCACATACAAATATACAAAAAGATAAATAGATAGATAGAGGTAAACAGACAAATAAGAAATACAGATAAAAGAATAGACAGACATAAAGCTAGATAGCTTTATAAATAGATAGATAGTTTTCGGTTGCAAAGCAAAGGTAATATTCTTAAACCTGATAATTATAATCACATAATCTCAACACAGATAATTATATTCGCATTCAATCACAGAGTAATAACTTAGGAGACTACACACAGATAATGGAGGAAGGGGGGGGGGGGGAAATAACATTCATCATTGTACATCTTGATTAATCTTAGTACAGTACAGTACACCCGGCCTTTTTATTTATGTACGGTTTAAAGCTCTAGTTTACGACGTATCTGTAAAAATGTATTTACTATTTAGCAAGGTGGTTTAAAAGAAAATAAACTATTTCCAAATTAGAACTGGAACTTTTTAATGGAATTTTTTACCGATCTTTTTTGAATTTTTAGGGAAAGAAGTAGGGGAACGAGGAAACGGAAAAGGGGGAGATTGGGGAGAAGAAGGAGAAGCAGGAGAAGTAGGAAAAGAAGGAGAAGGAGGAGATGGTAGAGAAAGAGGAGAAGAAGGAGAAGGAAGAGAAGGAGAACAGTAGAAGCAGAAGAAGGAGGGTGAGAGAGGAGAAGGGGAAGGAGAAGGAGAAGAAGGAGGAGAAGAAGGAGAAGAAGGAGGAGAAGGAGAAGGAGGAGAAGGAGGAGAAGGAGGAGAAGGAGAAGGAGGATAAGGAGGATAATGGAGGAGAAGGAGGATAATGGAGGAGAAGGAGGAGGAGGAGAAGGAGGAGAATAAAATAAAGAAGAAGGAGAAGAAGAAAGAGAAAAGAAAATCAAAGTAGAAAAATTAGAACAAGTTTTAAAAGAACGTAAAAACTAAAAACTATTGATGCCGTAACCGACTGTACAGAGTGTCCCACATCATATTGGATCGTGTGTCTAAATTACGATTTTTGTGACTAATCGGAAAAGCTAAAAAGAAAGAATCATTTTTAAAAATTGTAGAAAGCTTATCTAAAAATGCGATGAAAATGCTAGGTTTTTCCAGCAATATAATATGGAACGCTCTGTAGGACAACAATTGAAGAACTACGAGGTTGCGTGAAGATTTAAGAAAGGAAACTACAGGGTGTCCCACGAAACATGACAGTAGCAAGACGACTTGAATATCGTCTTGATTTTTTATATAATTTGCTGTATATTGTCAACCTAAATTTAGAAGTAAAATTCTAGAGATAATAATCACAACATACCTCTAGCCCTGGCATTTCCAAAATGTGATCTGCCTTTTTTGTGCTTTCAATTAATTGCCCGAGATATGAAGAATTTCGTTAAGATTTCGACAATTTTGGTTTTATTTAACAAAATGGAAAGCTGAACAAAGTTTTTAATATCTCCCGTAATATTGAAAGCGCAAAAAAAAGACAGAACTCATTTTGGAAAATAAGCATATTATGTGGTAATTGTTTCAAAAATCATACATGTTAAAGTATGAATGTCACAAATAAATTCAAATATAAAAGACGACGTCTTGCTACCGTCATGTTTCGTGAGACATCCTGTAAAATATCAAGAGAGAAGAATTAATTTCCAACCATTCAACTTTTAGAATAGAATTGTTGAATAATGATAACTATTCCTGGGTAAATGAAACTAATCGGACCCACCTGTGTTGCATCTGAGTACGGAGTTTTAGATAAAGGATCAACATGCATAGATCGTAGGATCTCACGGGGGGTTAAACTCAACATTTCTAACCAAACATTATCATTTTATTATTATGCTATTATTTTCATCACTTTTATCGTTTTAATCATTACTATCATTTTAATTATTATCATTCTTATCATCATTATCGTTAATATTATTACTATCATTATTATCATTTTTATTATTATTGTTATTTTTATTATAATTATTATTATTATTATTGTTATTATTGTTATTATCATTATTATTTTTGTTATGATTACTGTTAATATTTTCATTATTACTATTATTATTAATATTGTTATCATTATTATTATTGCTTTATCGTGGTTATTTTCTTATCATCATTATCATCATTACTGTTTTTACTTATATTTCATTTATATATAAAATCTTTTATCATTTTGATCATTAAAGTTATTATTATTATTATTATTATGACTATTACGATTATCATCATTATTTTATTATTGTTTTTATATTATTATGTTATTAAAATCCTTATAATTATCATTCTTATCATTAATATTAATTATAGGCATTTTTTTATCATTATCATAATTATTTTTACTATAAATATAAATGTTTTTTTTTCATATTTTCTCCAGAAACTTTGTTTTGTTTGGTATTTTTGAATCTGCCTATTCAATACTTCTATCAATTAATTATTATTTTATGCATAATACTATAAACGTGCTTCAAAACTGACATCATTCAAAATCTTTTTTTTAAATGTCTCAAATGTTTTTTTTGATTTATTTCTAGAATTTTCTTTGAAAAAATTTAATTTTTCAAATCCATCTACATCGTTTAAGTTGTTAAAATACATTTTTTAAAATTGCATTTTTTGTCCTTGAAATTTTTAAATATTTAATGCATTGAATTATAAATTTCTAAAGTTTTTGTTTCCCCAATATAGATATCTAAATTTAATTTTGTTTGCACGATTTTGTTATTTAAAAATTAATTACTCAATAACCAAAAAGATAAAACATTCGTTACAAACAAATATGGCAATTCATTTTGCTCAGGGCTTAACAAAAAATGTCGAAAATAAATATAATGTTTTCCCTAGTGTGTAGTGATGTCAGTGTTATATTGGAAAAATCATGGTTTTTATATTTTTAGTTGAGCGGAGAGGAGCCAACACCGCTCTCTCAGCTGTCTACTCACAAACTAAACCCGTCTCTTTACTCCGATATACACTCATTCAAGCCCGCCGTAGCCAGGCAGTCAATTTCAAGCAGTTTCACGGCGCATCCACATGCACTTTCCTGCATCTGCATTTAGATATTAACCACGTGTGAGTGTCTGCTTGTCCGATTATTGGCGTGTGTACCCTGTACAGTTTACGAAAATATATAGTTTGTAACATTTGTTGTTGCCAGTTTCGAGGATTTTGGGAATTTGACAAATTTACAGGACATAGCCTCGGAATGTTCTAAAGACAAATTCTTGAAAATTATCGCGAAATTCTCATTACCGGCCAGTGAGGTTTCAAACTAAATTCTAAAAACAAGAAAATTAAAATTAATCTTTTAGAATTTTTTGTTCTATCTTCAGCATTTTATAAACTTTATCAAATATAAGATCATAGTAACAACAAATTATTTTATAAAAATTTGTATTTTTTGCATTATCACTGCCATCCCCCCCCCTCCATGTTTCCACCTCTGTGGGTTGATGGCATATTTCCCTTCCAAAACATTTGAATAAATATGTGAATTTTCGAAATGTCTAGAGATATTGGCCGCAATGGCTGCCACAAATCTGAGATAAATTTTAAATGTTTGGTTTCACACACTTGAGAAGGAATCCCCCCCTCCCCCTTCCCCCCTCCCAACCCTCATTATTCTTGCTAAAAGACGAAATCAGTTTCCTTAGAATTAACCCTTAATAATGTTGGGGAGGGGGGGGGGGTGGTTAGTTTTTGAAAGACGGTGTTCTAAGAATTAAACAGTTTTTAATAGATTTCGATTTAAAGGAAATGAGTATTTGCAACAAAATCTGACTTTCTAATTCTTATAGCTTGACAACCCATTTTCCTAGACCTTTGATATTTCAAACTATTAATTCTGTTAGATCAAATAGTCCAAGTTTGAAATATCAAAGGTTTACACCATCAGGTTGCGAAGCTATAAGGGGTTAGAAAATTGAGTTTGTTCCAAAATCTCAATTCCTTTCTTCGATAATAGCAATCATAATTTAAAGGCACTTGTTAAATTGATAAAAAAAAGGTTGAAAAGGGATTGAAAAGGGGTTGAAAAGGGGTTGAAAAGGGGTTGAAAATGGTCGAAAAATGTTGAACCTTTAAATGATCAATAATATTGAGAGATAGCATCGTGAAACACTGCGGTCTCTCAACATTTTTAAATCAAAGTTTTTTTATTAATCCTAAAGTTTTATGTTCACGCACATACTAACTGTACGAAAGCATTAAAATGAAAAGTGTGTATATATGCATGTAAATGTATGAAGTAAGGCAGATTAAAAAGCCCTAAATGTACCTGAATGAAGTATTTAAAAGTTTTGCATGTTATAAAAAAATTAAAATTAATAGCTGTCTAGACACTATCATTTAAACAAGCAAAGTTTAACTGGATATATTCAAAATATATAAATATTTTCAGAATGGTTTTGAATTAATGGAAAACTTTTCCAATCTAATAAATCAGCTGAGACCTAGCTGTAAACATAATTTCAAGTAACCCTTAATTGATAGATTGGAATTTTCCGATTTACAAAGGTACCTTTGAAACTTTTTATCATATCCATGTTTATTTTAAATAAACTATTTATTTTTATTCATGGATTTTCTGCTAAAGTTACTTGCTGCAGAAACAACGAAGAAATTATCAGATTTAAAAGCCAACAACAACATTCCATATTTATTGATCAGATTAGGGTTTCAAGGATACCGTTGTAAATCTGGCATACCTCTTTTTTTTAAATTACAGCAACTTTCCCTTTAAAAAAAACTAAGTTTAACTTACCGTTCTAAGAATAGATTCGATACTTCCGGTACAAATTTACAATTTTTTAGAAGGTTTTCTTTTAAAAAATTCCCGGTTTGTTTCTTAGATTTTGTAAATTTTAGATTTAGTTATCAAACATGTTTTAACCTGTTTCAAAATTTACCTTTTCTTAAACTAGCTTTGAATTAATAAACGGAAGGAATAAAAAAAGCTCTCTATAGAAAATGAAAGACAAAAAAAATGGAAAAGAGGGGAAAAATGTCAATTAAACAATAAAGGAGAAGAAAATAATTTTATGAAAGGGATTGTTTAGTTTTTCATTTAGGGGAGTGTGTGAGCCCGGCCGTTAGATGTAGTGTAGCGTTGCTGTGCGCCAGTCATCTGTAGAGTACGGTGCACAACGGTACAATATTTTACCGCTTTTTAACCAACATCACCAACCTATGATCCCCCCAACAGGAGGTTATGTTACTTAACGTCCCTTGGAACAGTTATGTAAAATAACCACCCACTCTGCGAAGTTTTCAGGAAAAAATTCGCGCATTTTCATCTCAAAAGACGATAAAATTGTGTACATTTACTTTTTCGGGAAATTAAAAATTTTACCTAACCACGGGTTCCCTTGGTAAATATAAAAATTAAATCAAAAGCAAAAAAGAAACTGATTATCGATTTTAGAATCTCAGGGCAATCCAATCTCGGAGACCTTAGATATTTCAAACTATGAATTCTCTTGGATTAAATAATCCAAGTTTGAAATCAATATGGTTATACACCATCAGGTTGAAAAGATATAGGGATTGGAAAATTTGAGGTTGTCGCAATAACCTTCCTCTCTAAACAGGCAAGATTAAAAAAGACAAATTGGCCGATCGAACAAATGAAAAATAAAACATGAGAACTACAGATGAGAAAAGAATTGTAAGCAAGAGAGGTTCCGTGAGTTTCCATATTTTACATCCAGACTTTTCGGGGCTTGTTTAATTTATTCTTTATGTTAAGATTAAATATGACGAAATAATTAAGAAGCATAAATCTTTTTTAATTAATTATAAAAAATTCGTTTAAATTGTGTGTTCTCAAGCCTTAAATCTGGGCTTTCCTTTAAAAAGCCCGGTTTCACTGTGTTTGTACTGTACTCCCAATTAATTCTTGACAAATTTTGTTTACTTAGTTTTTCTATAAAGTTTTGTTTATGTCACGCCTAACTAACTCTAGACGGGAGGATTATTTTGAAATAGAAACAGAAACAAAAACAGAAACAGAAACAGAAACAGAAACAGAAACAGAAATAGAAACAAAAAAGAAGCAGAAACAAAAACAAAAACAGTTACAAAAAAAAGAAACATAAACAGAAAAAAACAGTTACAAAAACAGAAACAGAAACAAAAACAGAAACAGATACAAAAAAAACAGAAACAAAAACAGAAACAAAAACAGTTACAAAAAACAGAAACAGAAACAAAAACGGAAACAGAAACAGAAACAGAAATAAAAAAAGAAACATAAACAAAAACACAAACATAAAAAAATAAAGAAACAGAAACAAAAACAGAAACAGAAACAAAACAGAAACAGAAACATAAACAGAAACAGAAACAGAAACAAAAACAAATAAAAAACAGAAACAGAAAAAAAAACAGAAACTCTTTTGCTCATAAGTTAGGGAAATAGAAAAAATAAACTTGTTTAAGATAAACCATGTTTTCATGTTTGTTAAAAGCTTAATACACTATGGTGTAGTGTGCAAATAAATAATAATTTGTCAATTTTAAGTTTTTTCTTGATTTAAATTTGATAAAAATACGTCTTAATTAGTTCATATTCAATTTGATGATAAACATTCAGTTATGATGATTTATTATCTTAAATACTAACTCCGAGGGGATTTTATCTTCTTGTGTAGAAAGGAATTAAAAAGGAATTGTCAAAGTAACTGTTAACGACCATTCAGTTAAAGAGTACCATTATCAACAATTACCCTTGAAATCTGTATCCAAGAACAAGATGATGATAGAGATTGAAGTGTTTTATTTTCATGATCTGGGAGTCCGTTGGTTGCCTAGAAAGCTACTTGTGGCCGTTGGTTGCCTAGAAAGCTACTTGTGGATTTCTATAGCAAAACTGCTTGGAGAGGGCACAGTTTTTCCCATGGGCAAATTAAAAAATAATATCTTAATAAACTAAAATGCACGCATTTTACGTGTCCCCAACGTGCGACCTCAATGCATATCATCTATGTGTGTCCTCACTTTGCCGGCCTTGTAATCATTTTTTGTGTTTTCTTGAAACATTTCATCACAATTGCGTCTTTTTAGTAAAAGAGGAGTTGATAGATTTTTGTCAGCTATAATATTAGTGCATGGTTTGGTCCTAATCATGAAGATGATATTATTCTTCAATTGAGGGTTAATTCACTAAATCTAATTGTTGACACTTGTTTTATGAGACATCACAACATTTTAAAATCACAGTGTTTTTTTTTAAATTTTTTTTAAATTCCTAAAGGTTTCATAATTCTGTCAAAGATGTAGCGATACAAGGTTTCAATGTTACCCCTTTTACCCCATATTCTATGTAAAAATAGCAGGGAAATAATTCAATAATGTTTTATTAATTGCTGACAATGTTGAAAACTATTTGTATCGTAGACATTTTATATTTAAGAAGAGATGGCACTGTTTTTATTAAGTTACATTTAAGCAGCGTCAGATTGTAACAGGATGGAGTTAATTTTTCCAGGGTTTTCTGACAGATTTGGCAACGAAACACAATGCAAGAAATCCACCAGTTAACTCGGTTCGGTCTGTCACAAATGTCAGTTTTTCGCGCACTTTTATTCTTATGAAATCCGCAAAATGGTTTGATTAAATTTCTGCATGATTTGTCAGGCCTGAGATTTAACAAAACCTTTGATTATTCTAAGTAAGATAATAAGATTTATGACAAAAAAAATAATCTTGGAATTCAATTTGATTGATGGGTAGTACAAGAAGAAAGGAATTGAGTCTTTGCCACAAACTCTGATTTTCTAATCTATAAATCTTTCAAATCCAATATCGTAGACCCTAGATATTTCAAACTATGACTTCGGTTAGATCATATAACCTAAGTTTGAAATATCAATGGGTTTTGCCATCAGGATAAAAAGATATTGGGATTAAAAACTCAGAGTTTTAGCCCGTGATGTAACGATAAAATGTGATTTTCCCTTTTAGTCCGGTCTTCATGAAACAAACGTCTGGTTTCCTCCAAACCTATCAAGAGGAAACTGAACTGAATGATTTCTGACTCAAAAAAAAACTTAAAATAGCTCGGTCTAAGAAAGGGGTTAAAACCAAAATTATTTCAAA